CCCATAGAGACTCATAGAGACCCATAGAGACCCACAGCAGACTTATAGAGACCCACAGAGACCCATAGAGACCCATAGAGACCCACAGATACCCATAGAGACACACAGAGACTCATAGAGACTCATAAAGACCCACAGCAGACTCATAGAGACCCACTGCAGACTCATAGAGACCCACAGAGACCCATAGAGACACATAGAGACACACAGCAGACTCATAGAGACCCACAAAGACCCATAGAGACACACAGAGACCCATAGAGACCCACAGCAGACTCAGAGACCCATTGAAACACACAGAGACCCATAGAGACCCGTAGAGACACACAGAGACCCATAGAGACACACAGAGACCCATAGAGACCCACAGAGACCCACAGATACCCACAGAGACCCATAGAGACACACAGAGACCCATACAGACTCATAGAGACCCACAGCAGACGCATAGAGACCCATAGAGACACACAGAGACCCATAGAGACCCACAGCAGACTCAGAGACACATATAGACCCATAGACACACAGAGACCCATAGAGGCCCATAAAGACACACAGAGACACACATACCCATAGAGACACACAGAGACCCATAGAGACCCATAGAGACCCATAGAGACCCATAGAGACCCACAGAGACACACAGAGACCCACAGATACCCACAGAGACCCAGAGACTCATCAATACCCACAGAGACCCATAGAGACACACAGAGACCCATACAGACTCATAGAGACCCACAGCAGGCTCATAGAGACACACAGAGACCCACAGAGACACACAGAGACCCATAGAGACACACAGAGACACACAGAGACCCATAGAGACCTATAGAGACCCATAGAGACCCACAGAGACCCACAGCAGACTCATAGAGACACACAGAGACCCAGAGACTCACAGAGACCAATAAAGACCCACAGAGACCCAGATTCTCATAGAGACCCACAGAGGCTCATTTTGACCACAAGTATTGTGGGTAATGCAGCAACATGATTCCTCATGAAAAGGTTTCAGTTTTTTTGTGTGGCCACGCTCCTGCTGATGATCTCGATGAATGTCGACGTCCGCCCGGCCGCCCCATGTGCCCACAGGGACTGGTGCATCTCCCGGCAGCTGTGGTGGGGGCATCGCATCCCCGCGTACCACGTGACCATTCAGGGGGGCGGCCACACCACGGCCAGCGCGGTGAGACGCTCGGCACTGCGGCACGGAGGTGGTAGCGGTGGTTGTTGTTGTGGTTGTTGTGGTGGCGGTGACGGTGGTGGATGCAGGGTGACGATGTGTACGAGCTGTGGGTGAGCGGTGGTTGTTGTTGTGGTTGTTGTTGTGGTTGTTGTTGTGGTTGTTGTGGTTGTTGTTGGTGGTGTGGTGGATGCAGGGTGACGATGTGGACGAGCTGTGGGTGAGCGGTGGTTGTTGTGGTGGTTGTTGTTGTTGTGGTTGTTGTTGTGGTGGTGGATGCAGGGTGACGATGTGGACGAGTTGTGGGTGAGCGATGGTTGTTGTTGTTGTTGTGGTTGTTGTGGTTGTTGTAGGAGTGGTGAAGGTGAGCCCTGCCCATGACGAGGTTGTTGTTGTTGTGGTTGTTGTTGTGGTGGATGCAGGGTGACGATGTGGACGAGCTGTGGGTGAGCGATGGTTGTTGTTATTGTGGTTGTTGTTGTTGTGGTTGTTGTGGTTGTTATTGTGGTGGATGCAGGGTGACGATGTGTACGAGCTGTGGGTGAGCGGTGGTTGTTGTGGTGGTTGTTGTGGTGGTTGTTGTGGTTGTTGTTGTGGTTGTTGTGGTGGTGGATGCAGGGTGACGATGTGGACGAGCTGTGGGTGAGTGGTGGTTGTTGTGGTTGTTGTTGTTGTGGTTGTTGTTGTGGTGGATGCAGGGTGACGATGTGGACGAGCTGTGGGTGAGTGGTGGTTGTTGTGGTTGTTGTGGTTGTTGTTGTTGTTGTGGTTGTTGTTGTTGTTGTGGATGCAGGGTGACGATGTGGATGAGCTGTGGGTGAGCGGTGGTTGTTGTTGTGGTTGTTGTGGCTGTGGTTGTTGTTGTGGTGGATGCAGGGTGACGATGTGGACGAGCTGTGGGTGAGCGGGCGCACGGAGGAGGAGGCGAGGGCAAAAGCGGCGAAGAAATTCAACGTTGACCCCCAGCTTATCCACCTGCGACAAGGTGACCCCCCCCCCATCGTGACCCCATCGTGACCCCATCGTGACACCCCCCCCCCCCATCGTGACCCCCCCCCCATCGTGACCCCCCCCCCATCGTGACCCCCCCCCCCATCGTGACCCCCCCCCCCCATCGTGACCCCCATCACCACCAGCAACGCGCTCGCCACCGTTATTAACAACCTACATCCACATTGTGACGGCGGTGGTGGTGATGGTGATGATGGTGATGGTGGTGGTGGTGATGGTAGTGGTGGTGACGATGGTGGTGGTGGTGACAATGGTGATAATGGTGGTGGTGATGGTGACAGTGGCGATGACAATGGTAGTGGTGGTGACGATGGTGATTATGGTGGTGATGATGGTGACAGTGGCGATGATGATGGTAGTGGTGTTGACGATGGTGATGGTGATGATGGTGATGGTGATGATGGTGACAGTGGCGATGACAGTGGTAGTGGTGGTGACGATGGTAGTCGTGGTGGTGATGATGCTGACAGTGGCGATGACGATGGTAGTGGTGTTGACGATGGTAGCGGTGTTGACGATGGTAGCGGTGTTGACGATGGTGATGATGGTGACAGTGGCGATGACGGTGACAGTGGTGGTGACGATGGTGATGGTGGTGGTGATGATGGTGATGATGGTGACAGTGGCGATGACGATGGTAGTGGTGGTGACGATGGTGGTGATGATGATGATGGTGACAGTGGCGATGACGGTGCTAGTGGTGGTGACGATGGTGTTGATGATGGTGATGGTGGTGGTGACGTTGATGATGGTGGTTGTGACGGTAGCTGTGGTTGTGACGGTGGTGGTGGTCGCGATGATCTATGCACTGCTTGAGCTGATTGTGTTCACCCTGTGTGATTGTTGTTGTGGTTGTTGTTGTGGTTGTTGTTGTTGTTGCAGACGACGATGTGCTGGACACGTGGTTCTCATCCGGACTCTTCCCCTTCTCCATCTTCGGTTGGCCCGACGAGGTGAGATGGTGGTGATGATGATGGTGATGACGATGGTGACGACGATGGTGACGACGATGGTGACGACGATGGTGACGACGGTGATGACGACGATGGTGATGATGATGGTGACGACGATGGTGATGACGATGGTGATGACGATGATGATGGTGATGACGACGATGGTGATGACGATGGTGATGACGATGATGATGGTGATGGTGACGACGATGGTGACGACGGTGGTGACGACGGTGATGACGATGGTGACGATGATGATGATGGTGATGACGATGGTGGTGGTGATGACGACGATGGTGGTGGTGATGGTGACGACGATGGTGGTGACGATGGTGGTGGCGATGACGATGGTGGTGGTGATGACGATGGTGACGATGACGATGGTGATGATGGTGATGACGATGGTGACGGTGACGATGGTGATGATGGTGATGATGGTGATGATGGTGGTGATGGTGGTGATGATGGTGGTTACGATGGTGACGACGATGGTGACGACGATGGTGACGACGATGTTGACGACGATGTTGACGACGACGATGTTGACGACGGTGATGACGACGGTGATGACGATGATGGTGACGATGGTAATGACGATGGTGATGGTGACGATGGTGACGACGGTGATGACGATGGTGACGATGATGGTGACGATGGTGATGACGGTGATGACGGTGATGACGGTGATGACGACGGTGACGATGGTGATGATGATGGTGATGACGACGGTGATGACGATGGTGACGACGATGGTGACGACGATGGTGATGACAACGGTGATGACAACGGTGGTGACGGTGGTGATGACGATGATGGTGACGATGATGGTGACGATGGTGATGATGGTGACGACGATGGTGACGATGGTGACGACGGTGACAATGGTGATGACGACGGTGACGACGACGGTGGTGATGACGGTGATGGTGGCGATGGTGACGACGATGAAGGTGACGACGACGGTGATGACGACGGTGATGACGATGGTGATGACGATGGTGACGCTCCACTGGTGATGTTGCTGCCATTGATGCCGGTGATGATGTTGGTAGTGATCATGTTGCTGGTGACGATGTCGCTGGTGATTTGTATTTATTATTTAATTAGTTTCATTTTATTTTGGTATAGCCCTGTAAGCCATTCGGCTCTTGAATCGGGTGCAACCACAACAAACAAAAAAAATAAATGACGACGATGTTGCTGGTTGACCGTGTTGCTGGTGCCCGTGTTGACGACGATGTTGCTGGTGACCGTGTTGCTGGTGACCGTGTTGCTGGTGACCGTGTTGACGACGATGTTGCTGGTGACCGCGTTGACGACGATGTTGCTGGTTGACCGTGTTGCTGGTGACCGTGTTGACCACGATGTTGCTGGTGACCGTGTTGCTGGTGACCGTGTTGACAACGATGTTGCTGGTGACCGTGTTGCTGGTGACCGTGTTGACAACGATGTTGCTGGTGACCGCGTTGACGACGATGTTGCTGGTTGACTGTGTTGCTGGTGACCGTGTTGCTGGTGACCGTGTTGCTGGTGACCGTGTTGACAACGATGTTGCTGGTGACCGTGTTGCTGGTGACCGTGTTGACCACGATGTTGCTGGTGACCGTGTTGCTGGTGACCGTGTTGCTGGTGACCGTGTTGCTGGTGACCGTGTTGCTGGTTGACCGTGTTGCTGGTGACCGTGTTGCTGGTGACCGTGTTGACGACGATGTTGCTGGTGACCGTGTTGCTGGTGACTGTGTTGACGACGATGTTGCTGGTGACTGTGTTGACGACGATGTTGCTGGTTGACCGTGTTGACGACGATGTTGCTGGTTGACCGTGTTGCTGGTGACCGTGTTGACCTCGATGTTGCTGGTGACCGTGTTGCTGGTGACCGTGTTGACCACGATGTTGCTGGTGACCGTGTTGCTGGTGACCGTGTTGACAACGATGTTGCTGGTTCACCATGTTGCTGGTGACCGCATTGACGACGATGTTGCTGGTTGACCGTGTTGCTGGTGACCGTGTTGACCTCGATGTTGCTGGTGACCGTGTTGCTGGTGACCGTGTTGACCACGATGTTGCTGGTGACCGTGTTGCTGGTGACCGTGTTGCTGGTTGACCATGTTGCTGGTTGACCGTGTTGCTGGTGACCGTGTTGACCACGATGTTGCTGGTGACCGTGTTGCTGGTGACCGTGTTGACAACGATGTTGCTGGTGACCGCGTTGACGACGATGTTGCTGGTTGACCGTGTTGCTGGTGACCGTGTTGACCTCGATGTTGCTGGTGACCGTGTTGCTGGTGACCGTGTTGACAACGATGTTGCTGGTGACCGCGTTGACGACGATGTTGCTGGTTGACTGTGTTGCTGGTGACCGTGTTGCTGGTGACCGTGTTGCTGGTGACCGTGTTGACAACGATGTTGCTGGTGACCGTGTTGCTGGTGACCGTGTTGACCACGATGTTGCTGGTGACCGTTTTGCTGGTGACCGTGTTGCTGGTGACCGTGTTGCTGGTTGACCGTGTTGCTGGTGACCGTGTTGCTGGTGACCGTGTTGACGACGATGTTGCTGGTGACCGCGTTGACGACGATGTTGCTGGTTGACTGTGTTGCTGGTGACCGTGTTGACGACGATGTTGCTGGTTGACCGTGTTGACCACGATGTTGCTGGTGACCGTGTTGCTGGTGACCGTGTTGCTGGTGACCGTGTTGACGACGATGTTGCTGGTGACCGTGTTGCTGGTGACCGTGTTGACAACGATGTTGCTGGTGACCGCGTTGACGACGATGTTGCTGGTTGACTGTGTTGCTGGTGACCGTGTTAACAACGATGTTGCTGGTGACCGTGTTGCTGGTGACCGTGTTGACAACGATGTTGCTGGTGACCGTGTTGCTGGTGACCGTGTTGACCACGATGTTGCTGGTGACCGTGTTGCTGGTGACCGTGTTGCTGGTGACCGTGTTGCTGGTGACCGTGTTGCTGGTGACCGTGTTGCTGGTTGACCGTGTTGCTGGTGACCGTGTTGCTGGTGACCGTGTTGACGACGATGTTGCTGGTGACCGTGTTGCTGGTGACCGTGTTGACCACGATGTTGCTGGTGACCGTGTTGCTGGTGACCGTGTTGACAACGATGTTGCTGGTGACCGCGTTGACGACGATGTTGCTGGTTGACTGTGTTGCTGGTGACCGTGTTGACGACGATGTTGCTGGTTGACCGTGTTGACGACGATGTTGCTGGTGGCCGTGTTGCTGGTTGACCATGTTGCTGGTTCACCATGTTGCTGGTGACCGCATTGACGACGATGTTGCTGGTTGACCGTGTTGCTGGTGACCGTGTTGCTGGTTGACCGTGTTGCTGGTGACCGTGTTGCTGGTGACCGTGTTGGCAACGATGTTGCTGGTGACCGTGTTGCTGGTGACCGTGTTGACGACGATGTTGCTGGTGACCGTGTTGCTGGTGACCGTGTTGCTGGTTGACCGTGTTGACAACGATGTTGCTGGTGACCGTGTTGACGACGATGTTGCTGGTTGACCGTGTTGCTGGTGACCGTGTTGCTGGTTGACCGTGTTGACAACGATGTTGCTGGTGACCGTGTTGCTGGTGACCGTGTTGCTGGTTGACCGTGTTGACAACGATGTTGCTGGTGACCGTGTTGCTGGTGACCGTGTTGCTGGTGACCGTGTTGCTGGTGACCGTGTTGCTGGTGACCGTGTTGCTGGGTGACCGTGTTGACGACGCCGTAGACGGAGGAGCTGCGCGTGTTCTACCCGGGCACGCTGCTGGAGACGGGTCACGACATCCTCTTCTTCTGGGTGGCACGAATGGTCATGCTGGGACTCCGGCTGCTCGGGAAGCTGCCCTTCAAGGAGGTGGGAGCTTCACGTTGTGCCGTGTCTCTGTCTGTCGCTTAACGATGGTCGTGTCTCTGTCTGTGTCACTTCACGTTGTGCCGTGTCTCTGTCTGTCGCTTAACGATGGTCGTGTCTCTGTCTGTGTCACTTCACGTCGTGCCTTGTCTCTGTCGCTTCACGTTGTGCCGTGTCTCTCTCTGTGTCACTTTACGTCGTGCCGTGTCTCTCTCTGTGTTCACGTCGTGCCGTGTCTCTCTCTGTGTTCACGATGGCCGTGTCTCTCTCTGTGTTCACGTTGTGCCGTGTCTCTGTCTGTGTTCATGTTGTGCCGTGTCTCTCTCTGTGTTCACGTTGTGCCGTGTCTCTCTGTGTTCACGTTGTGCCGTGTCTCTGTCTGTGTTCACGTTGTGCCGTGTCTCTCTGTGTTCACGTTGTGCCGTGTCTCTCTGTGTTCACGTTGTGCCGTGTCTCTGTCTGTGTTCACGATGGCCGTGTCTCTCTGGGTTCACGATGGCCGTGTCTCTCTGTGGGGTTCACGTTGTGCCGTGTCTCTGTCTGTGTCGCTTCACGATGGCCGTGTTTCTCCCTGTGTTGGTTCGCGACGTGCCGTGTCTCTCTGGGTTCACGATGGCCGTGTCTCTTTCTGTGGGGTTCACGTTGGCCGTGTCTCTCTCTGTGTGTCGCTTCACGTTGTGCCGTGTCTCTGCCTGCGTCACTTCACGATGGCAGTGTCTGTGGGGTTCACGACGTGCCGTGTCTCTCTGGGTTCACGATGGCCGTGTCTCTTTCTGTGGGGTTCACGTTGGCCGTGTCTTTCTCTGTGTGTCGCTTCACGTTGTGCCGTGTCTCTGCCTGCGTCACTTCACGATGCCCGTGTCTCTGTCTGTGGGGTTCACGTTGTGCCGTGTCTCTGTGTGTGTCACTTCACGATGGCCGTGTCTCTGTGTCACTTCACGTTGTGCCGTGTCTCTGTCTGTGTCACTTCACGTTGTGCCGTGTCTCTGTCACTTCACGATGGCCGTCTCTCTGGTTCACGATGGCCGTGTCTCTCTCTGTGTCACTTCACGATGGCGGTGTCTCTGTCTGTGTCACTTCACGATGGCCGTGTCTCTGTCTGTGTGACTTCACGATGGCCGTGTCTCTCTCTGTGTCGGTTCACGATGGCCATCTCTCTGGGTTCACGATGGCCGTGTCTCTGTCTGTGTTGCTTCACGATGGCCGTGTCTCTCTCTGTCACTTCACGATGGCCGTGTCTCTTTGTGGGTTCACAATGGCCGTGTCTCTCTCTGTGGGGTTCACAATGGCCGTGTCTCTGGGTTCACGATGGCCGTGTCTCTCTGTGGGTTCACGTTAGCCGTGTCTCTCTCTGTGGGGTTCACAATGGCCGTGTCTCTCCCGTGGGGTTCACGATGGCCGTGTATCTCTCTCTGGGTTCACGATGGACGTGTCTCTCTCTCTGGGTTCACAATGGCCGTGTCTCTCTCTGTGGGTTCACAATGGCCGTGTCTCTCTCTGTGGGGTTCACAATGGCCGTGTCTCTGGGTTCACGATGGCCATGTCTCTGGGTTCACGATGGCCGTGTCTCTCTCTGTGGGTTCACAATGGCCATGTCTCTCTCTGTGGGGTTCACAATGGCCGTGTCTCTGGGTTCACGATGGCCGTGTCTCTCTCTGTGGGGTTCACAATGGCCGTGTCTCTCTCTGTGGGTTCACAATGGCCGTGTCTCTCTCTGTGGGGTTCACAATGGCCGTGTCTCTGTGGGTTCACGATGGACGTGTCTCTCTCTCTCCCGTGGGGTTCACAATGGCCGCGTCTCTCTATCTCCCTTGGTCCACGATGGCCGGGTCGGAGACACCCACACCCCGACTCCTGAGCAGTCTTCTCTCCGGACCCACCGCACGGCAACGGCACTTGCCCCAGCGATCCCCTTAAAGCTACGCGCGTGGCGGGGCACCTTTGTCTCTACAGGTGTACCTGCACGCAATCGTGCGCGACGCCCACGGGCGGAAGATGAGCAAATCCCTGGGCAACGTCATCGACCCGGTCAGCGTCATCCACGGCATCACCCTGCAGGTGAGGTCGCGCCGAGGTCACCGGCGAGGTCACACCGTTGTGAGGTCGCCGTCTCAACGAAAAACCACGAAAGGGTGCCCCCGGTGTCTCGGCTGAACTGATGTTGATGGCGACGATGATGGCGGTGATGGTGATGATGGTGATATTGATGATGATGGTGAAATGAGTTAAATGATAACGTCACCCTGCTGCTCTATTTAAGACCGAGAGCAAGCGAGGGCTTTACCATTCTGGCGAATTGCCCGATGATGCTGGATGTATTTACCAGCGAAACGTCGTACTATTCAAACTGTAAATGTTGTGTGGATTCACTCTTCAACAAACTGGTATGGGGCTAAAGTAGTGAACTATTTGTCTTTTGTCAACGTGACACTTTATTTTGCTGATTGGCCGTGTCGGGTGGTGGAGGGTTACGACACATTTATAAATAGCGCGACCTAACCCAAAAACCTTTATTATGAATGATGGTGATATTGATGTTAACGGTAGTGATGTTGATATTGATGATGTTCATATTGATGGTGTTGATGTGTTTGTTGTATGTGTTGATATTGATGGTGGTGATGTTGATATTGAAGGTGATGGCGATGTTGTTGTCGTCGTTGATTTGATGACATTGATGGCGACGATGTTGACGTTGCAGGAGCTGCACGATTCCCTGCAGGATGGAAACCTCGACCCTCTGGAAGTGCAGAAAGCCATCGAGGGCCAGGTGATGCCATCACCACCGTCGCCCTACACGCCACCATCACCATCGCCACCATAGCTCTACCCCTGGCCCCCTAACCCACACCACCGCCACCGTCACCCCTCGCAACATCGAGCATTTGGCTGCCCCTGTTTAATTTCCACGCGGCGACGACGACGAGCCCGCTCCGTTGAGCTCTCGTTTGTGATAACCCCCAGGGGGGGGTGGGGGGCGGTCCCTTGTTGACTAAAGGGGCTACAACAGAAGCTCAGTTGGGGGGCCTTACCCTGGTCAAATAACTAAACAATGCCTAAACCCCCTCTCTCCGCTCCCTGTCCCACAGACAGCGGACTTCCCAAACGGAATCCCGGAGTGCGGCACGGACGCCCTGAGATTCGCGCTGTGCGCCTACACGGCACAGGGTGAGGAGGCGCGTGGCGATCACACGGGGCACCGCCAGGAGCCAGATGGGAGATGGGCAGGAACCCGATGTAGAATAGGCAGGAGCCAGATGCGGGAAAGGCAGGAGCCAGACAGGAGAAAGATGTGGGATGGGGTACGAACATAGATGTGGGTTGGGTACGAACCAGATGTGGGATGGGCAGGAGCCAGATGTGAGATTGGGCGGGAGCCAGACAGGAGGAGCAAGATGTGGGATGGGTACATGTGGCGTCGGCCAGGTAAAGGAGCCAAGGATTGTGAATCTCTTTAACGGTCAAATCTCACCCCTCCCTCTTCCCCACCCCCCCACCCCCCCCTTCTGCCATTTCCCGCCTCCATCCGTTTCCCCCGCCCCCGCCCTGACCCAGGCCGAGACATCAACCTGGATGTGAACCGGATTCTGGGCTACCGCCACTTCTGCAACAAGATGTGGAACGCCACGCGGTTCTGCCTCAAGGTGCTGGGCCCGGACTTCCGTCCAGCAGCGACGGCCGCGGTGAGTGCCACCGCACACACAGACACACGCACACACACACAGACACACACACATACGTACACATACGTACGCACGCCTCGCGCGTTCCGCGTCAAGCGGAAGGGCGACTTGAACCGTACTTCACCGCGCGGCGGCGGGGCGCGCCCATGTGTGAGCAGGTGCCGGATGGCGCCGGCGAGATGGAACGCTGGGTCCTGAGCCGGTTGAGCGCCGCCGTGAGCGCCTGCGACGCGGCGTTCCGCTCCTACGACTTCCCCGCCATCACCACGGCCATCTACAGCTTCTGGCTCTACGAGCTGTGCGACGTCTACCTGGTGAGCCCCGTCACGGGCCGGACGGGTGACCGGCTTAACCCGCTAGTTGGGCAACCACGTAGCTGCCTAACCAGCCACGTGGCTAACCAGACAACTGGCTTACTGGGTTTCCAGCTAATAATAATAATCAGATACCCGGCTAACCAGATAACCATCTTACCAGCTTAATGGCTATCCAGCTAATAATAACAACCAGATAGATGGATAACCGTTTTACTGGCTATCCAGCTAACGAGCTTACTGGCTAGCCAGATAAGCTAACAAGATAGACAACCAGATAACTGGCTTACTGGCTATCCAGCTAACCAGATAAGACAACCAGATAACCAGTTTACTGTCTATCCAGCTAACCAGATGAGACAACCAGATAACCAGTTTCCTGGCTATCCAGCTAACCAGATAAGAACAACCAGATAACCAGCTTACTGGCTATCCAGCTAACCAGATAACCGGCTTACTGGCTATCCAGCTAACCAGCTTACTGGCTATCCAGCTAACCCCATAAGACACAGATAACCAGCTTACTGGCTATCCAGCTAACCAGATAAGACAACCAGATAACCGGTTTACTGGCTATCCAGCTAGCCAGATAAGACAACCAGATAACCAGCTTACTGGCTATCCAGCTTACTGGCTATCCAGCTAACCCGATAAGACACAACCAGATAACCGGCTTACTGGCTATCCAGCTAACCAGATAAGACACAACCAGATAACCAGCTTACTGGCTATCCAGCTAACCAGATAAGACACAACCAGATAACCGGCTTACTGGCTATCCAGTTAACCAGATAAGACACAACCAGATAACCGGCTTACTGGCTATCCAGCTAACCAGATAAGACAACCAGATAACCGGCTTACTGGCTATCCAGCTAACCAGATAAGACACAACCAGATAACCAGCTTACTGGCTATCCAGCTAACCAGATAAGACAACCAGATAACCGGCTTACTGGCTATCCAGCTAACCAGGTAACCGGCTTACTGGCTATCCAGCTAACCAGATAACCGGTTTACTGCCTATCCAGCTAACCAGATAAGACACAACCAGATAACCGGCTTACTTGCTATCCAGCTAACCAGATAAGACACAACCAGATAACCGGCTTACTTGCTATCCAGCTAACCAGATAATACAACCAGATAACTAGCGTACTGGCTATCCAGCTAACCAGATAAGACACAACCAGATAACCGGCTTACTGGCTGTCCAGCTAACCAGATAAGACGCAACCAGATAAGCGGCTTACTGGCTATCCAGCTAACCAGATAAGACGCAACCAGATAACTGGCTTACTGGCTATCCAGCTAACCAGATAAGACACAACCAGATAACCGGCTTACTGGCTATCCAGCTAACCAGATAAGACAACCAGATAACCGGCTTACTGGCTATCCAGCTAACCTGACGAGACACAACCAGATAACCGGCTTACTGGCTATCCAGCTAACAGGACAAGACACAACCAGATAACCAGCTTACTGTCTATCCAGCTAACCAGATGAGACAACCAGATAACTGGTTTACTAGCTATCCAGCTAACCAGATAAGACAGCCAGATAACCAGTTTACTGTCTATCCAGCTAACCAGATGAGACAACCAGATAACCGGTTTACTGGCTATTCAGCTAACCAGGTAAGACAACCAGATAACCAGCTTACTGGTTATCCAGCTAACCAGATAAGACAACCAGATAACCGGCTTACTGGCTATCAAGCTAAGACACAACCAGATAACCAGCTTACTGGCTATCCAGCTAACCAGATAACCGGCTTACTGGCTATCCAGCTAACCAGATAAGACACAACCAGATAACCGGCTTACTGGCTATCCAGCTAACCAGATAAGACAACCAGATAACCGGTTTACTGGCTATCCAGCTAACCTGACGAGACACAACCAGATAACCGGCTTACTGGCTATCCAGCTAACCGGACAAGACACACCCAGATAACCGGCTTACTGGCTATCCAGCTAACCAGATAAGACACCCAGATAACCGGCTTACTGGCTATCCAGCTAACCAGATAAGACACCACCAGATAATCGGCTTACTGGCTATCCAGTTAACCACATAAGACGCAACCAGATAACCGGCTTACTGGCTATCTAGCTAACCAGATAAGACACAACCAGATAACCGGCTTACTGGCTATCCAGCTAACCAGATAAGACAACCAGATAACCGGCTTACTGGCTATCCAGCTAACCTGACGAGACACAACCAGATAACCAGCTTACTGGCTATCCAGCTAACCGGACAAGACACAACCAGATAACCAGCTTACTGTCTATCTAGCTAACCAGATGAGACAACCAGATAACTGGTTTACTAGCTATCCAGCTAACCAGATAAGACAACCAGATAACCAGTTTACTGTCTATCCAGCTAACCAGATGAGACAACCAGATAACCGGTTTACTGGCTATTCAGCTAACCAGGTAAGACAACCAGATAACCAGCTTACTGGCTATCCAGCTAACCAGATAAGACAACCAGATAACCGGCTTACTGGCTATCAAGCTAAGACACAACCAGATAACCAGCTTACTGGCTATCCAGCTAACCAGATAACCGGCTTACTGGCTATCCAGCTAACCAGATAAGACACAACCAGATAACCGGCTTACTGGCTATCCAGCTAACCAGATAAGACACAACCAGATAACCGGTTTACTGGCTATCCAGCTAACCTGACGAGACACAACCAGATAACCGGCTTACTGGCTATCCAGCGAACCGGACAAGACACAACAAGATAACCAGCTTACTGTCTATCCAGCAAACCAGATGAGACAACCAGATAACTGGTTTACTAGCTATCCAGCTAACCAGATAAGACAACCAGATAACCAGTTTACTGTCTATCCAGCTAACCAGATGAGACAACCAGATAACCGTTTTACTGGCTATTCAGCTAACCAGGTAAGACAACCAGATAACCAGCTTACTGGCTATCCAGCTAACCAGATAAGACAACCAGATAACCGGCTTACTGGCTATCCAGCTAACCTGACGAGACACAACCAGATAACCAGCTTACTGGCTATCCAGCTAACCGGACAAGACACAACCAGATAACCAGCTTACTGTCTATCCAGCTAACCAGATGAGACAACCAGATAACTGGTTTACTAGCTATCCAGCTAACCAGATAAGACAACCAGATAACCAGTTTACTGTCTATCCAGCTAACCAGATGAGACAACCAGATAACCGGTTTACTGGCTATTCAGCTAACCAGGTAAGACAACCAGATAACCAGCTTACTGGCTATCCAGCTAACCAGATAAGACAACCAGATAACCGGCTTACTGGCTATCAAGCTAAGACACAACCAGATAACCAGCTTACTGGCTATCCAGCTAACCAGATAACCGGCTTACTGGCTATCCAGCTAACCTGACGAGACACAACCAGATAACCGGCTTACTGGCTATCCAGCGAACCGGACAAGACACAACCAGATAACCAGCTTACTGTCTATCCAGCTAACCAGATGAGACAACCAGATAACCGGTTTACTGGCTATTCAGCTAACCAGGTAAGACAACCAGATAACCAGCTTACTGGCTATCCAGTTAACCAGATAAGACAACCAGATAACCGGCTTACTGGCTATCAAGCTAAGACACAACCAGATAACCAGCTTACTGGCTATCCAGCTAACCAGATAACCGGCTTACTGGCTATCCAGCTAACCAGATAAGACACAACCAGATAACCGGCTTACTGGCTATCCAGCTAACCAGATAAGACACAACCAGATAACCGGCTTACTGGCTATCCAGCTAACCAGATAAGACAACCAGATAACCGGTTTACTGGCTATCCAGCTAACCTGACGAGACAACCAGATAACCGGCTTACTGGCTATCCAGCGAACCGGACAAGACACAACCAGATAACCAGCTTACTGTCTATCCAGCTAACCAGATGAGACAACCAGATAACTGGTTTACTAGCTATCCAGCTAACCAGATAAGACAACCAGATAACCAGTTTACTGTCTATCCAGCTAACCAGATGAGACAACCAGATAACCGGTTTACTGGCTATTCAGCTAACCAGATAAGACAACCAGATAACCGGCTTACTGGCTATCAAGCTAAGACACAACCAGATAACCAGCTTACTGGCTATCCAGCTAACCAGATAACCGGCTTACTGGCTATCCAGCTAACCAGATAAGACACAACCAGATAACCGGCTTACTGGCTATCCAGCTAAGACACAACCAGATAACCGGTTTACTGGCTATCCAGCTTACCAGATAAGACAACCAGATAACCGGCTTACTGGCTATCCAGCTAACCACATAACCGGCTTACTGGCTATACAGCTAACCAGATAAGAGACAACCAGATAACCGGCTTACTGGCTATCCAGCTATCCAGCTAAGACACAACCAGATAACCGGCTCGCTTTTGTCTTGCGGCCGTGTCCCGCCGCAGGAGTGCGTGAAGCCTCTGGCGGGAGGCTCTGCGGAGGGCGCTCCCCCGGCGCCCGGCCTAGCCGCGTGCCGCCAGGCCCTCTACTCGTGCCTGGACGGGGGCCTGCGTCTGGCCGCCCCCCTCATGCCCTTCCTCACCGAGGAGCTCTACCAGCGTCTGCCACGCAGGCCGACGGCGGCGGCGCGGCCCCCGCCGGCCTCCATCGCCGTCAGCCCCTACCCGGAGGAGCACGAGGTAAGGGGGGGGGGGGGGGTAGTGGGGGTGGAGTTAGGAGAGTGGCGGAGAGGGGGGGGGTAATGGGGAGAGTGGAGGGGGGGAGGTAGTGGGGAGAGTGGAGAGGGGGAGGTAGTGGGGAGAGTGGAGAGGGGGAGGTAGTGGGGAGAGTGGAGAGGGGGAGGTAGTGGGGAGAGTGGAGAGGGGGAGGTAGTGGGGAGAGTGGAGAGGGGGAGGTAGTGGGGAGAGTGGAGGGGGGGGGTAGTGGGGAGAGTGGAGAGGGGGAGGTAGTGGGGAGAGTGGAGAGGGGGGGGGGTTAGTGGGGAGAGTGGAGAGGGGGGGGTTAGTGGGGGAGAGTGGAGGGGGGGGGGTTAGTGGGGAGAGTGGAGGGGGGGGTTAGTGGGGAGAGTGGAGGGGGGGGCGTTAGTGGGGAGAGTGGAGGGGGGGGCGTTAGTGGGGAGAGTGGAGGGGGGGCGTTAGTGGGGAGAGTGGAGGGGGGGGCGTTAGTGGGGAGAGTGGAGGGGGGGCGTTAGTGGGGAGAGTGGAGGGGGGGGCGTTAGTGGGGAGAGTGGAGGGGGGGGCGTTAGTGGGGAGAGTGGAGGGGGGGCGTTAGTGGGGAGAGTGGAGGGGGGGCGTTAGTGGGGAGAGTGGAGGGGGGGCGTTAGTGGGGAGAGTGGAGGGGGGCGTTAGTGGAGGAGAGTGGAGGGGGGGGCGTTAGTGGGGAGAGTGGAGGGGGGGCGTTAGTGGGGAGAGTGGAGGGGGGGCGTTAGGGGGGAGAGTGGAGGGGGGGCGTTAGTGGGGAGAGTGGAGGGGGGGCGTTAGTGGGGAGAGTGGAGGGGGGGGGCGTTAGTGGGGAGAGTGGAGGGGGGGGCGTTAGTGGGGAGAGTGGAGGGGGGGCGTTAGTGGGGAGAGTGGAGGGGGGGCGTTAGTGGGGAGAGTGGAGGGGGGGCGTTAGTGGGGAGAGTGGAGGGGGGGCGTTAGTGGGGAGAGTGGAGGGGGGGGCGTTAGTGGGGAGAGTGGAGGGGGGGCGTTAGTGGGGAGAGTGGAGGGGGGGCGTTAGTGGGGAGAGTGGAGGGGGGGCGTTAGTGGGGAGAGTGGAGGGGGGGCGTTAGTGGGGAGAGTGGAGGGGGGGCGTTAGTGGGGAGAGTGGAGGGGGGCGTTAGTGGGAGAGTGGAGGGGGGGCGTTAGTGGGGGAGAGTGGAGGGGGGGCGTTAGATTGGGGAGAGTGGAGGGGGGAGCGTTAGTGGGGAGAGTGGAGGGGGGGCGGTTGTAGTGGGGAGAAGTGGACGGGGGAGGCGTTAGCTGGGAGAGTGGAGGGGGGGGGCGTTAGTGGGGAGAGTGGAAGGGGGGGCCGTTAGTGGGTAGAGAGTGGAGGGGGGGGGCGTTAGTGGGGAGAGTTAGGGGGGGGCGTTAGGGTGGGGTAAGAGTGGAGGGGGGGGGGGGCGCTGTAGTGGGGAGACGTGGAGCAGGGGGGGGCGATTAGTGGGGAGAGTGGACCGGGGGGGCGTTAGTTGGGGAGAGTGGAGGGGGAGGGCGTTAGTGGGGAGCAGTGGAGGGGGGGCGTTATAGTGGGGAGAGTGGAGGGGGGGGGGCGTTAGTGGGGAGAGTTGGAGGGGGGGCGTTATTGGAGAGTAGGACGGGGGGTAGTGGGGAGAGGGAGGGCGTTAAGTGGGGAGATTTGGGAGGGGGGGCGTTAGTGGGAGAGTGGTAGGGGGGGGTCGTTTGGGAGAGGTGGAGGGGGGAGTAGTGGGAGAGGGAGGGGGGCGTTAGTGGGAGGAGAGTGGAGGGGGGGGGGGCGTTGTGGGGAGAGTGGAGGGGGGATGGGGCGTTAGTGGGGAGAGTGGAGCTGGGGGGCGTTAGTTGGGAGAGTGGAGGGGGGGGCGTTAGTGAGGGAGAGTGGAGGGGGGGCGTTGGTGGGGAGAGTGGAGGGGGGGCGTTAGTGGGGAGAGTGGAGGGGGGGCGTTAGTGGGGAGAGTGGAGGGGGGGCGTTAGTGGGGAGAGTGGAGGGGGGGCGTTAGTGGGGAGAGTGGAGGGGGGGGCGTTAGTGGGGAGAGTGGAGGGGGGGCGTTAGTGGGGAGAGTGGAGGGGGGGCGTTAGTGGGGAGAGTGGAGGGGGGGCGTTAGTGGGGAGAGTGGAGGGGGGCGTTAGTGGGGAGAGTGGAGGGGGGGCGTTAGTGGGGAGAGTGGAGGGGGGGCGTTAGTGGGGAGAGTGGAGGGGGGGGCGTTAGTGGGGAGAGTGGAGGGGGGGGCGTTAGTGGGGAGAGTGGAGGGGGGGCGTTAGTGGGGAGAGTGGAGGGGGGGCGTTAGTGGGGAGAGTGGAGGGGGGGCGTTAGTGGGGAGAGTGGAGGGGGGGTTAGTGGGGAGAGTGGAGGGGTTAGTGGGGAGAGTGGAGGGGGGGGTTAGTGGGGAGAGTGGAGGGGGGGGGTTAGTGGGGAGAGTGGAGGGGGGGGGTTAGTGGGGAGAGTGGAGGGGGGGGGTTAGTGGGGAGAGTGGAGGGGGGGGGTTAGTGGGGAGAGTGGAGGGGGGGGGTTAGTGGGGAGAGTGGAGGGGGGGGGGTTAGTGGGGAGAGTGGAGGGGGGGGGGTTAGTGGGGAGAGTGGAGGGGGGGGGTTAGTGGGGAGAGTGGAGGGGGGGGGTTAGTGGGGAGAGTGGAGGGGGGGGGTTAGTGGGGAGAGTGGAGGGGGGGGTTAGTGGGGAGAGTGGAGGGGGGGGGTTAGTGGGGAGAGTGGAGGGGGGGGGTTAGTGGGGAGAGTGGAGGGGGGGGGTTAGTGGGGAGAGTGGAGGGGGGGGGGTTAGTGGGGAGAGTGGAGGGGGGGGTTAGTGGGGAGAGTGGAGGGGGGGGGTTAGTGGGGAGAGTGGAGGGGGGGGGTTAGTGGGGAGAGTGGAGGGGGGGGTTAGTGGGGAGAGTGGAGGGGGGGGGTTAGTGGGGAGAGTGGAGGGGGGGGTTAGTGGGGAGAGTGGAAGGGGGGGGTTAGTGGGGAGAGTGGAAGGGGGGGGTTAGTGGGGAGAGTGGAAGGGGGGGGGTTAGTGGGGAGAGTGGAAGGGGGGGGTTAGTGGGGAGAGTGGAGGGGGGGGGTTAGTTGGGAGAGTGGAGGGGGGGTTAGTGGGGAGAGTGGAGGGGGGGGTTAGTGGGAGAGTGGAGGGGGGGGTTAGTGGGGAGAGTGGAGGGGGGGGTTAGTGGGGAGAGTGGAGGGGGGGGGTTAGTGGGGAGAGTGGAGGGGGGGGGGTTAGTGGGGAGAGTGGAGGGGGGGGGTTAGTGGGGAGAGTGGAGGGGGGGGGTTAGTGGGGAGAGTGGAGGGGGGGGTTAGTGGGGAGAGTGGAGGGGGGGGGTTAGTGGGGAGAGTGGAGGGGGGGGGGTTAGTGGGGAGAGTGGAGGGGGGGGGTAGTGGGGAGAGTGGAGGGGGGGGGTTAGTGGGGAGAGTGGAGGGGTTAGTGGGGAGAGTGGAGGGGGGGGGTTAGTGGGGAGAGTGGAGGGGGGGGGTTAGTGGGGAGAGTGGAGGGGGGGGGTTAGTGGGGAGAGTAGAGGGGGGGGTTAGTGGGGAGAGTGGAGGGGGGGGGTTAGTGGGGAGAGTGGAGGGGGGGGTTAGTGGGGAGAGTGGAGGGGGGGGGTTAGTGGGGGAGAGTGGAGGGGGGGGGTTAGTGGGGAGAGTGGAGGGGGGGGGTTAGTGGGGAGAGTGGAGGGGGGGGTTAGTGGGGAGAGTGGAGGGGTTAGTGGGGAGAGTGGAGGGGGGGGGGGTTAGTGGGGAGAGTGGAGGGGGGGGGGGTTAGTGGGGAGAGTGGAGGGGGGGGGTTAGTGGGGAGAGTAGAGGGGGGGGGTTAGTGGGGAGAGTGGAGGGGGGGGGTAGTGGGGAGAGTGGAGGGGGGGGGTTAGTGGGGAGAGTGGAGGGGGGGGGGGGTTAGTGGGGAGAGTGGAGGGGGGGGGTTAGTGGGGAGAGTGGAGGGGGGGGGTTAGTGGGGAGAGTGGAGGGGGGGGGGTTAGTGGGGAGAGTGGAGGGGGGGGGTTAGTGGGGGAGAGTGGAGGGGGGGGGCGTTAGTGGGGAGAGTGGAGGGGGGGCGTTAGTGGGGAGAGTGGAGGGGGGGGCGTTAGTGGGGAGAGTGGAGGGGGGGCGTTAGTGGGGAGAGTGGAGGGGGGGCGTTAGTGGGGAGAGTGGAGGGGGGCGTTAGTGGGGAGAGTGGACGTTAGTGGGGAGAGTGGAGGGGGGGGTGGCGTTAGTGGGGAGAGTGGAGGGGGGGCGTTAGTGGGGAGAGTGGAGGGGGGGCGTTAGTGGGGAGAGTGGAGGGGGGGCGTTAGTGGGGAGAGTGGAGGGGGGGCGTTAGTGGGGAGAGTGGAGGGGGGGGGTAGTGGGGAGAGTGGAGGGGGGGGGTTAGTGGGAGAGTGGAGGGGGGGGGTTAGTGGGGAGAGTGGAGGGGGGGGTTAGTGGGGAGAGTGGAGGGGGGGGTTAGTGGGAGAGTGGAGGGGGGGGGTTAGTGGGGAGAGTGGAGGGGGGGGTTAGTGGGGAGAGTGGAGGGGGGGGTTAGTGGGGAGAGTGGAGGGGGGGGTTAGTGGGGAGAGTGGAGGGGGGGGGTTAGTGGGGAGAGTGGAGGGGGGGGGGTTAGTGGGGAGAGTGGAGGGGGGGGGGTTAGTGGGAGAGTGGAGGGGGGGGGTTAGTGGGAAGAGTGGAGGGGGGGGGTTAGTGGGGAGAGTGGAGGGGGGGGGGTTAGTGGGGAGAGTGGAGGGGGGGGTTAGTGGGGAGAGTGGAGGGGGGGGGGTTAGTGGGGAGAGTGGAGGGGGGGGGGTTAGTGGGGAGAGTGGAGGGGGTTAGTGGGGAGAGTGGAGGGGGGGGGTTAGTGGGGAGAGTGGAGGGGGGGTTAGTGGGGAGAGTGGAGGGGGGGGTTAGTGGGGAGAGTAGAGGGGGGGGGTTAGTGGGGAGAGTGGAGGGGGGGGGTTAGTGGGGAGAGTGGAGGGGTGGGGTTGGGGTTGTTAGTGGGGAGAAGTGGAGGGGGGGGTTAGTGGGGAGAGTGGAGGGGGGGGGTCGTGGGGCGA